CCCCCCAGCCCAGCCTATGCCCCAGGGCTCTCCGACAAGGGGCCGATGGAGCTCACACCAGGACAGACAGATTACCTCGCTACTAGAGGGAAGACACCAGCACCACCTCTAGAGATCCTGGGGTCGCATGTCTTACCCTCTTGACAAAGGGCAGCTCCTAATAAGCTTTTATTTAGGAAAAAGACCAAAATTGGCATTTCTTAGACCTGAGGGTTCCGGAGCCAATTCACTCTGGATGCACCGGATTGCTTTCACGCAGCCAGTGAGAGAGAGAAACTCGGGCACCCTCCTCGTCCTGCCATCCGGCTGTTAGCGGGCTGAGCTGTGGGCAGAGTGGCAGCTGCCAGCAGGGGCCCTGGTGAGGTGGAGGGGAGCTATTTCGGGCGGGTCATGTTCGGTAACACAAGTCCCTGCTTCTCCATCAGGAGGCAGAGCCAGGGCACTGGCTGGAGCTGTTTCTGGTTGCTATGGAGATGAGCCCCACCCAAGGTTCCCGGTCCAGACCTCCCTGCTCTGTCAAGTTCAATTTCCCCAGACGTAGCGGCAAGGCCTGTTCTGAGCAAGTCCGCGGCGGAGTGTTTACACGGACCTGCTGTCCGGTTCCACTTCTGCGCCTCCCAAAGGCCCGAAAGCCAGGAAGAGGCGGGAGCCAGCCCTGCGGAGCCGCGTGGAGGGCGCCCAGGGGAGGAGGGCCTCGGAGAGGTGTTTGGGGGCCTGGGCCCCTCCCTGCAAGTTCTGGGTCGTCCTTCCCAGAGTTGGGGGTGCTCCTCTCCATCTCCCTGGAAAGATGCCAGATGGGGTTGCCTCGGCCCCTCTCATCCTCTTTTTTCTTTCCTTAAACCCATTTCTCACCTAAATTACAGTGACTTCACACTTTCAAGTCTGAAAGCCTGCCGTGGCCTCCCATGGCTCCTAGGAAAAGTCCAGAATCCTGACCGGGCTCCGTCCCTGCAGAACGGCCTGCCTCCCTCACGCCTCTCCCTCTCCTTCCTACAGGCTGGCCCCCTGGGGAGCACTGGCCCCCCAGTCCAAGCCCCAGCCCACCCTTCTTGCCTTGCCAGCTCCTCCTTGCCCTTCAGACCTCAGCTGCCCCTTCCGGGTGGTCCTCCCTGAAGCGCCCCTGGGGCAGCTACTGAGATACCCATTGTCCCAGCCCCGAGGGTCCTGAATGGCAGCCTCCTTCTCCCCTGGGCCAAGCAAGGCTTGGAGACTGCACCTAACGGTTGTCCTTTTGCTCCAAACCCACCGCAGGAGTCGGCTGGGGCTGTCATAACGAAGCGCCACAAACTGGGGGGTTTAACAAGGGCTGGTTACTGTCACGCTGTCTAGAGGCCAGGAGACTGGAATCGAAGTGTTGGCAAGACCGGAGAGTCTGTCCCAGGCCTTCAGCACACTGGCTGGCTGGTGATAGCGGCAATCCTGGCTGTAGCTCCCTGCTGTCGTCCGGGAAACGCCCTTCAATCTCCTGAGTCTCCTGCCACGTGAAGGGTAAACAAAGGGCATATCTGAAAAATGACCCTGTCTGGCCAGTGTGGCTCAGTGGTTGAGTGTCGACCTATGAACAGGAGGTCACGGTTCAATGCCGGTCAAGGGCACATGCCTGGGTTGCAGGCTCCATCCCCAGTAGGGGGCGTGCAGGAGGCAACTGGTCCATGATTCTCTGGCATCATTGATGTTTCTCTCTCTCTCTCCCTCTCCCTCCCGCCCCCCCCACACCTGCCTTTCTTCTGGAATGGGAAGGGGGCTTTCATGACCAGGATTGCAAAACCTATTCAGTGCTTAACAATTAGCAAGTTGTTAAAATAACTGAGTAGAACAGAGAATATTGGAGTACGATATAAAATAAAACTTGTCCCAAACGCACATCTTTTTTTTTTTCTTTTTTAGCTGATGTAATTCAGTCTCCTTTTGGGGGAAAATAGCTTAAGCACTTAAACGCTTAAGCAATTTTTAGATAAACCTTCATGGCATGAAGGGTGTTTCTGCGAATGAGCTCCCCACCCACCCAGCTGTCTCTGGTCAGGCGCCCAGTCTCCTCTGGCCAAGTGGTAGCTCCCGCACAGTTCACCCCAGGATGGCCCGCGCCCAACCAGCGGGAGGCGGGCAGTGGTCTTACTCAGGTGTGGGTTCTGGAGGGTTCTGACCAGGGTCCACAGGAAGCGAGGGCCAGGCCGGTCCTGGGGGGCTGCTGGCCCTGAGCAGGGGTTCGAAGCAGTGGGATTAAGGAGCATGGGGTGCCGTCAGGAGGCTAGTGGTTAGCATGGGGCACCCCCTAATGGTGAGGCATTGCCACGCCTGCCTGGGGTATTTCTGCTAAGAAAGCAGCAGTCGCTGAGGGAGGGGGTCCTCCTGACCCCTGACCGCTGCTGCGTGACCCCGGGAGAAGCAGGTCCCTGTAGCGTGGCTGGGGCTTCCCCTGGGTCTCCCCTCCCAGCCAGGCGACTGCAAGGCTGTTTTTGCTTGTCCAGCTGATTTTTACTTTCTTTGCACGTATAGACACGCACCGTGTGATGGGTCTCGCTATAGAATGCATTGCTTGCTGTGGGTCAAAGTTTAAAAACCAGGAAATGTTGGCGGCAGCAGGGAGGGACCGGGTGTGAGACTGGCGGGGTCAGCCCACCTGGGTCCTGCAACCTCGGGACCTGGGTTCTGGCAGGGAAAGAATTCAGAGCCAAGACTCGCGCTGTAAGAGAACATTCACTGGGTAAATCCCGGAGGTAGAAGTAGTTCCTAGAAGAAAGGGGCTTAGGAAGCAAGTTACAGAGGCAAAGGAAGGGCCCTGGGAGCTTGGGAGTGAGCAAGGGGGACGAGGAAGGGGTGGGTGTAGAGAGGGGAGGGCCTGCACCCGGAGGGAGCGCGCACAGGTCCTCCGTCCTCAGGGTTTTAAGGTGCAGATGTTAGGGGAGGTCCCAATGGAAGAACCCAATAGGGTACTCAGCAGCCCTTCAGGTGTGTCCTTGCACGTGGTGGGCTCCAGGTCAGGGGTCCTCAGTCAATGCGGTTGGTCCTGAGGGCGGCCTTGGTGTGGCTGGTCTGGTTTTGCTGCTTCTCTGGGCCTGGAGCTGACATACTGCTGAGGCCTAGAGGTGATCTCTCGGGAGGAAAGGTCAGGAGGTCTAAGCCCATGGCCATAGGTATGTGAGGATAGGGAAGGTCCCTTGGGGGCGAGGTCCCCCCTACAATTGTCCGTTGCTAGGCACCCGGGCATTCCTCCCTGGTGACCTTCTGAACCTGGCCCGTCGTCCTTGCTCTGCTCAAGTCTAGCTGCCCACCTGGCACGCCGCTTCTCCACCTTTCTGAGGTCTCGGCCACAAAGGCAGCGATGATTTGTCCAGCACAAATGATACTTGTTCTGCTCACTGAGGCAAAGAGATGAAGCTGCTTGGGGGTCAGGAGGGCCCAGGGGCCCTCTCACCTTGGACCCCACCTGGCTGCCCTGGTGGGGGGCAGTGTCTCTCAGGCATACTCACACCCCTTCTTAGCACACCTCAAGGTGCTTGGGTCTGGAGAATAGGAGGACTTAGAGCTTAACAACAAGGGGCCATTTCTGCAAACAGGTAGAGCCTGTGTGGACTAGAAGGCGGGGGAGGTCTGAGTTCTGAGACCTGGGCCCAGGCGGGGACTTTGGCCGCAGACTTGGATCAGCAATGAACTGCCCTGGAGCCGGCCAGTGTGGGCGCTGGAGACCACCAGCCCCTCCACAGCCGGGGAGCGGCCCTAAGGATGTGTTTGTATAAAACTTGCAAAAGTTGGACATTTAAGCCGGAATCCGCTAAGCCTGCTATCTCTTTCCACTCCGACTTCCTCTTTATCACATTTCCCCTCCTGTCAGGAGCCCTCAGTGTGGCCACAGCACTGTGTATCCATGATATTATCTTTTAGTTTAGAGCAGCGGTTCTCAACCGGTGGGTCGCGACCCCTTTGGGGGTCGAACGACCCTTTCACAGGGGTCACCTAAGACCATCGGAAAACACATATATAATTACATATTGTTTTTGTGATTAATCACTATGCTTTAACTATGTTCAATTTGTAACAATGTAAATACATCCCGAATATCAGATATTTACATGACGATTCATAACAGTAGCAGAATTACAGTGATGAAGTAGCAACGAAAATAATTTTATGGTTGGGGGTCACCACAACATGAGGAACTGTATTAAAGGGTCGCGGCATGAGGAAGGTTGAGAACCACTGGTGTAGAGCCTGAGAAATAAGATAGCTACTAAAAAGGGCTCCTGGTGGGTAACTGGGCTGCAAAAAAAATAAAATAAAATAAAGAGCCCAGAAGCCATTTCTCTGCAGCAGGGCCTCTCACGCAAACTGCGCTTCGGGGAGAAGCCAGCACTGAGCTGCCTGCCTGCAAGGTGCTCCTGCCAGCGGAGCCAGCCCTTGTAGACGAGCTCCTGGGACCCTATTTCTACTGGGAGGACCAAGGCTTCCCCCATCCAATTGGGGCTGCACAGCCATCGCCCATCAGCTTCATTACTGACCAATCAGCTCCATTCTGACCAGTCAGGACAGGGCCTCCGGGCCAAGCAAACCGTTGGGAGGTGGTGCACCAAAAGGTTGCTTGTAAGAAAGAGGCAGCGATGGATGTTAGACTCTTCTCCCTTCCTCTTTCTCTAATAATCAATACACGATCTTTTAAAAAGAAAAAGCCCTGGCCGGTGCGGCTCAGTTGATTGGACGCCGTCCCATGCACCTTCGGTTCCTGCTCAGGGAGCATGCCCAGGTTTTGGGCTTGGTCCCTGGGAGCGGGCATGCAGAGAGCAGCAGACGGAGGTCTCAGACTCACATCTGTGTTTCTCTCTCCATATATAAATATAAAAATCAGGGGGAAAAAATCTTAAAAAAAAAAAAAACAGAGAGAAACAACAACCTGGGATTTGATGTCCTCATCCGCATGAGAATGGACCAATCAGGGACCAGGGGCAGGGACTTCTGTCTATGTAAGCCTGGTCCCCCACGGCGGTGAGAATACTTTACTTTTCCACCAAAGATGGCATTCTCTGGCTAGAACCAAAACACTGAAGGTGCCAGAGCAGACCAGCACAGACCAACGCAGGGCTGTGCAGGAGGCAACCAAACAATGTGTTTCTCTCACATCAATATTTCTCTCTGTCGTTCCCTCTCTCTTCCACACTTTCTCTCTAAAATTCAATGGAAAACTATCCTCTGGTGAAAAAAAGGGGAAAAAAATATATCCTCTGGTGAGGATTAAAAAAGAAAAAAGTTTAAATTAAGTAGGTGGACCCTGCGACTGGCCACCACGTGTCAGGAAACCAGCTGTTTGCCCGGAATGAAACTCTGAGCCCTTAAGATAATGCACCAGCACCTCCACGCGGGATGAGATGCTCACATTCCCCCTTAAAAATCCCCCCGAGGTGGGGGAGTTTACTCACTACAGATGCCCAGTAGGGCCACCCAATGCTAGGTCACAAGCTAAAACGAATCAGCCCTATTTTGTAAGCTGCTGGCCCCATATTGTGCCTAATTTCATTCAATCTGGTTAAAATCTTCCAGCCAGGACGCCGCGGGGACGGCTGGACCACTAAGCCAGAACATTCTAGAGGGAGCAGTGCCACCTGGAGGCCAGTTGTGGGGGGGGCGCAGGGAGAGGGAGAGAGAAACATCAAGGATGAGAGAGTATCATTGATGGGCTCCTGCACGCCACCTACTGGGGATACGCAACCCGGGCGTGTGCCACGACCAGGAATGGAGCTGTAACTTCCTGATTCATAGGTCAAGGCTCAACCACTGAGCCGCGCTGGCCGGGCTAGGGTCTGGGTTTGATGTCATGAAGGGAAAGTTTTTCCTGACTCTTCTCTGCCAGCCACCCACCCGCCGTGTCCTGCAACAGAGACTGGGTCTTGCACTCCATGTGTATGGCTCAGTGACTATCCAAGTCGGGTGTAAAGTCACCTAGTAGGTGCTCCGTGATGTTGGTTGAGTGAGTGAAGATGCCCGTGTAAGGTGACTTTTCTGCGAGCCACACACCAGACTTAGATTACAGCCCCCATTCTGTGTGCCCAGTGTTTTTTTTTTAAATATATATTTTCATTTATTTCAGAAAGGAAGGGAGAGGGAGAGAGAGAGAAACAATGATGAGAATCACTGACCAGCTGCCTCCCGCACGCCCCCAACTGGGATACAAGCCTGCAATCCAGCCATGTGCCCCCGACCAGAATAGAATCCAGTAGTTTTTTTGGTTTTTGTTTTTTTTAATTCCCCCTATGATGCGCCCAACTGTTCATTCCACAAGGTGGGGAGTACGCAGGAGAATTAGTTAGGCAAGGGAGTGAATCATCCAGGCCTGTGGTCTGGAAAACTACAAGTTCCAGAATGCATCCTTCATTAGTATACGGAGAGGTTGAGGGAGCATTGCCTTCTGGGAAATGTAGTCTTCAAGTTGTTTGTGATGCAGGCGAAACGAGGCGGAAGGGGGAGAGAATGTAAACTCTTTGACCACGTGACACTCGGGATCAGGTGGTTGGGCCAGCCTCCGGCTGAGAGCTGTGATTGGCTGACTCTATTGCGAACGACGCCACTAGGGGCGGGTCGAGAGGAGCGCAAGCGCACTGCGTTGCTAGTCTTGGGACCCCTTTCCAAGAGACTATGGCGCTCAACAAGAATCACTCGGAGGGCGGCGGAGTGATCGTCAACAACACCGAGAGGTGAAAACGCTGCACAAGATCCGGGAAGGCCGAAGGGAGGGCGACAGGGGTGTGGGCGGTGGGCGCTGGGCAAAACAATCGCCGAGGAGGGGAGATTGCTGGGCTGCGGTGCCGGGGGGAGGGGGT